TGCTTGTCGACTGTGCAGATGAAGAATAATGCAGGACATGCAACCCTTCATTAAATCCCAAGGAGCTTGGAAACAGCCAATATTAATTGTAATGGGCCTGCAAATTTATTCTCATTAATGCAGAACTAACTATAACTATGCCCCCCCCCCMCCCCCCACACACACACACACACACAAAGTGGCTGCTCTCAGATTTGGGCCCACACTCTTACACTTGTTAGCCCAAGATTTTACCATGACAACAAGCTTGGAATTTCAATTGTTATTAGTCACACTATGGAGTTTTAGAAAATCGCTATTGTTTCATTGTTTTGATTCTTTTTAAGCTTTCTGTGGATGTCTGAATGGTCAAACCTCAAAAATAGTCATTTAGGTTTTTAGTATTTTTTGACCTGGGAGTTCTTCAAATAATAGGATTTCTTTTGAAATTATGATGCTGCTTTTTCTAAAGAATTTAAGCCCAGGTTTGATTTGGACTGCTTTTGAATATATTAGAATGTGATAAATTCTCATGGGAGTATTTATAATTCATTGTTTTGTTTTCAAAATTTGTTGTAATTACTAATTAAACTGACCGTCTTAATCAATTCTCTTCATGTTGACACTTTTCTTAAGTGAATGCTATTTTTTAAGAGATCTGTATCTTTCCTCCATCTTCCTCAACATAAGTTGAACGCTTGCCCAAATATTTTTGCTTTGTTATCAATGCCCACAAATGCAGTTGATTAGGAGATTATGGATTTATTCCTTGGCCCTGCTACAAAAGATATGCAAACTCTTGATTTGCCTTCCTGATTGTTGAGATGATTGGTGACTATTACTTTATTAATGGTGCTTTTCATAAGGCCCTTATATTGAGCTGTGGTACCCAAATTGAAGGCCTGGGAAAGATTTCTTCCTTGATCAATCTTTTCTTGAAAAAGAAATAATTGAAAGTAATCTTGCCGCTTTTCATTATTCTTTTGTTTTCTAATCTACCTGCCAATTTATTTTTTCTCTGTCAAGTCTCCATAATACAGCATGTGCATCTAGAATATGAGGAAATACTAACTAATACTAGCTAGTTTTACAATTAAAATAATTTCCAGCAAGGAATTGTTTAACTGGGACCATCCTATGTGAAGATGAAAATTAATGTTTTTACTTGTTAGTAAATAACATTGCTATTTTTTTTTTGTTTTTCAAATTATAAGCATTCTAATTAGTACATAAAACAAGAGAATTAACCTAGAATTTTGTTCTACTTGTAAAATTCTAGACACCTACTATTTGGTTCTACTAGTAAAACTAGACACCTAGGTGCCTGCCTAGTCGAATAGGCATTCCACTGTTGTCTAGAGATTTTTTTTTTTCTTTTTTCTTTTGAGAAGGTAAAGTAAAAATTTGATTGATGAGAGAAGCTACAATACAACAGCAACCTAGTGGAAAAACACTAGGAGAACTACCACATTACAAAGCCCAAATGGAGTGGGATTCAGGGAGCTGAAAGACATTCTGATTTTAAAATTCTGAAATTACAGATAACCAGGAAGCAAGTCTATTGACAGCAGTTTTAAGTAGATGATAATTGGGTTTGTTACTTGCTATTTTGATGTTGTTTGTTTAATTTGATATGATTTAGTTTAGTCCAAAGTTCTTAGAAAACTATTAGGTAATGTAATGCAAACGTGCAGTATCCAGTTCTTTGTCTTTGTTCTTTCAGTAGCTTTTCAATCATCTTTCTCCTTGATATTTTCTCAAGTTAACGGTTGTTACACAGTGTAAATGTTTTTCTTGACACCTCCCTCATACGTTTTCTTGTAGACAACGTTTGAGGATGTCTTCCCTGCTGAGGCAACAAGTGTTGAAGAGTATTTGCAACAGGTAGCTTTTACATCTCTTGTTTCTTAAGGACAAAGTTCTGTTTCAAAAAGCATTCAGAGTTACACTAGTGGAGATATTGATGATCTTTCTGTTTTAACCATTTAAATTATTTGATAATAACATTTTTTAATCAGTAACAAATCAGAAATTTTGTTAATAAAAGAGAAGAGTGTTACAAATAGGTGCTTATAAGCAGATAGCCTTGACTATCCTCTCATGCTAATTTTACAGGTATACTTCTTACCCAAAGATGTTCTCTCAAAAATTTAACTTCCTTTATATATAGCGGTATAGCCCAGTAAATTGTTCCCTTGATCTTGTACCCTTTGTTTTGCTAATGTGTCTGCCATTCCATTTGCTGATCTGTTCATCCATTGTGTTTTTGTGTGCATATCCCTTGTCAACCATTTTAATTTCTTCATCATTTAAGATTGTATAAATTTCTTATGGTGGCATTATGGTGGTATATTTATCTCACTTTTCTACACCTCTTGTAGGGGACCAACATGTTTGAAATTTCATATAGTTGAAAAGCAAATTTTCTAGTCCAGTTGTTGAATTTTCAAGTAGATTTACCAGTTCTAGGTTTCTATTTTTTGAATGACTTAAAACTTCTCTTTTTTTGACCCATATGATTTGAACTTCTTTTCAAATAGGAGGACTGTATTAACCTCAAGATAGCAATCGAATGGGCTCTTACAGTTTCTCCAGCCATTAGGCATCATACTTCTTTTTCATTCCTTTGTACATATTTTAATTTTAATAATCCTTATAAATGCAATGCATTTGATTCTGTTGTATTTTAGAATTTCTGAACCTCTCCTAGTTCAAATGTTGACTTTTTTATGAACACAAAATTGGCTTCCAAGGAAATCAAATGTCAGGCTGTCAGGTTAAGTTAGTGGTCTCATTTTTGTCCTTCTCTCTCTCTCTCCCTCTCTCTCTCTTCCCCCCCTGACATGTAATGAGCTTCATTAACTATTAAAAAGAACTGACGGAAAGAAGTAAACAGAGAAAATGGAATACATAGAAGCTGCAAAGGGAAAAAAGAAGATACTTTCCTGTGCCCCCCTCCCCACAAGAAGATGCACAATGGTACTCCCAACAAACAATGCATCAATCTGGAACTAACACGCAACACATGAACCTAGTGTCCCCCATGTCTCAACAACTCAGAAAGCATCCTCGATCATTGAATCCGCCTCTGGTACCTTGCTTGTGATAGAAATATAAAAAGACTAGGTTCATTCTTACCTAGCTTCTAATAGACAATTCACATGATTAGCTGGATATTGCATTCTTGTTTTGGTTGTGGAAATCGTCTAGTATGCTCCTTGTACATGCTTTTGTTGCTGATCTTTTTTTAATTGTTTCTTGATGGCTTACTGCTGATGCAAAAGCAGTTAGTTTCTTTGCTTCATGGGGATCTTACTGGCTTCACTTATCCTCATTAATTTGTATATACCATTTCAAATACTATGATATCTTCTGGATGTGGGCAGAAGAGCATTGCTTCAAGCAGAGATTGTTTGATTTGGAAATCACTGTATATACAATGCTTTCCTGCAATAGTCAAAGGAACACATTTTTAATAATGATTTGATTTATGTGCTGAACAAGTGAGTAGATATTTAATAATCTGCTTTTCCTTTATTAGTTTGTATCCAAGTTATGTTTATACATTCAGGATTTGATTCCTGGCAGTGGAAAATATTAAATACTAATTTACCTGTATTGGTTTTTTGAAACTGAAGAGGATGCTGAACATTTTATTGTAGTTCATGATTCAGTGGTTCAACCGTCTGGTATTCTTGTTTGAATGGTTCATTCTGTCTCTTCATTCATAAAAAAAAAGGTTCATTCTGTCTCTTAAGTTGATGCCAATAATGAAAGAAGTTTCCTAGTTTGCGGGCTACCTTATTCTGTCACATGGAGTTGTCATGGAGAACCAAGATTGCGGGCTCAGGTTATTGTCTCTACCGTTGTCAAGGAATATAAACTTTGGGACATCTTCTTATAAGCTATAATCTGGATCATATGGTGTGGTTTAGGTCAAATTTGGGCTAGTTAATAGATGGCAACCAAAACGGGCTGTTGAATGATCAGATCTAAAAGTCCTTCAATGAACTGAGCGATGGCAGATCCATCTCCCATTTCTGCTGCATGATTTTCTTTCTTTGAGGACAACAAAACTAGCCCAAAAGAAATAATAGAAGCTGCCAGCAGTGTTTACAAAGAATAAAAGGATGTTTGGAGGACTGAAAGCAATCTCCCCATCAATTGTATGAAGATACTATTGATGAGGATGTGGAAATCATTGTTTACTATGAATGGGGCATTGAAAAAAAGGCTGCTGCTGCTGATTTTTCCATGGATAAGCAAGGCAGATTCAAAAGGGTCATACTGCTACCTGTAACCATGGAGAATGCAGAACTTGCAGAGATGTTGTCAATCGGGAAAGTGGTGAAGCTTGCAAGAATGCATAAATGGGTCTTATTACAAGTGATGCTTAGATTATAATATCTCTGCTATAGCACAAGAAGATTGAGGACCAATAGGGAATTGAGGGCCATAAGAAGACATCAATAGATCTTTGTGAGCTTCCAAGGCATATATAAATAGAAGTGGAAACCTGTTACACAATTGTTGGTTGAGTTTGTGTTGAGACCCAAACATTCCCTTCAGAACCCACTAGGGGAGTGGAGCAGGCCACCACCTATCAGCCATTCACAAGAAGACAGAGGAGCCAGGCGGCAGAGCCACAGAATTAGTTACACTCAGAGTTGGTTACTCTGCCACCTGAAGATTTTCCACCCATGTTATTTGCCAGAGTTAGTTATCCAGAAATCAGAGGATATTCCCTCTGATATTACACCTGTAGGCCAGCTATATAAGGCCATCATCATATAATGAAAGCAATGCATGATTCTCCCTTAATTTTCTTCTCCCTGATTCCGGTTTCTTCCTTCCCTCCCTTCTCTCTTTTCTCTCCATCTTCTGTTTCAGGAGGTCAAGCCTCCCTCGAAGAGGTTTCCGAGGTGAGCGGAAACTCACCAAGTTGGTATCAGAGCAAGGTTGCAGACCAGCTATGCCGCAGACAAGATCCTCTACCATGGAAGATAGAGTCGACCAACTTGAGATTGGGTTCCACCAGGTACTGAACGAACTCAGGGATCTCAAGGTGGTCATCTCTAACCTTGCCTCCCAACAACAATCCGACAAGACCAGTCATCCAACAGGGGCTGGCGCCTCTGTTTCCAGTAGTCAGGGAACTGGGGATAACCCCGTCGGAAAGGTTACTAAAATTAATTTTCCCAACTATTCCGGTGGAGATCCCATTCCTTGGATCTTCAGAGCAGAGAGATTCTTCGAGTATCATGAAACCCCTGCACACCAGCGCGTCGCCATCGCCTCCATTCACCTAGAAGGAGATGCTATTCTCTGGCTCCAATGGTATCGACAAACCCATCCTCAGGTAACTTGGGCGGAGTTCACAGAAGCTCTGTGCATCCATTTTTGGCCGACGACGTTCGTGGATTACGACAAACTCCTCACTCGACTAAAGCAGACTGGGACAGTAGCAGACTACCAGCTCGAGTTCGAAAGAATGGCGATTCGGGCACATGGATGGCCGGAGAAGGCCTTGGTAGGGTGTTTTGTGGGAGGTCTCACAGAAGACATCTGCCTGGAAGTGAGAGCTCTTCGACCAGCGACAGTCATGGCAGCAGTGGGTATGGCTCGCCTACAAGAAGAGAAGATTGATAGCATGCGCAGGACCAGCAAGCCATCCTACCCGAATGGGAGGGCTCCCTTGCGGGCCGAACAACAACCCCTGAAACAAGTTGGGGATTCTCAGAAGCCCATTTTGCCCAGGCCCACGGTGCCTTTCAAGCGCCTCTCGTGGGCTGAGATGCAGGCCCAACGCGAGAAGGGCCTCTGTTACAACTGTGATGACAAGTTTGGGTCGGGCCACAAGCGCCGGGTCCAACGAGTGTTTCTCCTTCAAACAGAGGAAGAACCGGAGGGGACAGAACCAGAGCACATCGAAGACTGTGAGCTGATATCAGGCGAACCAGAACCTGTCGGAGCCGAGATCTCCCTACATGCTCTCATGGGTCTCAACCCTCTTCAGTCCATGCGAGTAGAAGGAAGGTTGGTTGGCCGATCTGTGATGATCTTGATTGACAGTGGCTCTATCCTGAATTTCATCACTTGCCGATTAGCAAGGCAACTAGGTATGTCTCTACAACCCACTCCACTCTTTTCAGTCTATGTGGCTAATGGAAGTCAGATGACATGTGATGGTGTGTGCAAGAAGGAAAAGATCTTTATACAAGGCCACTATTTCGTGGTAGATCTCCACCCATTAGATTTCTCAGGGGCTGATATTATTCTGGGAATTCATTGTTTACGTGGCCTAGGGCCGGCGCTGTGTGATTGGGCCAAAATGACAATGGTCTTTTATCAGGATGGTCAGACTTGCCATCTACAAGGGGTGCGGTCTCTGAGTCCCCAAGGTGATACTGTAGCTTCCATATTACGGGCCTCCAAGGATACTGGACAACCCTTATTTATGCACTTAGGCATGCAGCCCATAGTTCCAACTTTAAACAATCAAGGCTGTGACCAACCCACGGAAGCCCAACACAAGGCACTACGATCGATACTCGATTAGTTTGTTGATGTGTTCAAGGAACCAAGCCAATTACCTCCACCCCGGGCCCATGACCATCAGATACC